ACAGGCATTCTCCATTCTCATAGGTCTTTTCTGCTAAAACAGGATAAATGCTCATTGTAGCCATTACCTGTTCATATAAATGATGAAATGATGCAGCAATGCCAAGGACATTTGGCTAGACTAGCAAGAACCAGGGTAGAGAGAGGCTCAGACAAGGTGTTTTCTTGATTGCCTTTCTTTCAGTTATCCTTTAAAAAGACTTTACAGATATTTTTTTTCCAATGTCGTATTTTCATTTCCCAGCATTTTATGTCTGTTGCTCACAGGTACTAGTAACTAATGTAAAAAAGCAAGTTTGTAAGTAAAATGTTTGTCTTACATCTGCTAAAATTACTTAAAAACAAACAAACAAAACAAAAAAAACAGTCAAAGGTGTCCTAATGGCTAGGGTGTAAGTAGCTTATTGTGTTATGTATTATAAATAGCATTCTAGTTAACTAGTTCTTAAAGGAATCTTTGCTGTTGACATATATGCAGTGCATGGCTGGTTAAAATATTACATATGTCATAGTTATTTGAAGGTCTCTATATGTATTGGCCAAATACGTAGTAGAAGCCCATTTTTGGGTTCAAGTGTTTTGAGAAGAAAGTGAAAAACAAGAACCTATGATGAAGGCATGTTCAGAATACCGAGCAGAAAGACAGTAAAGAGATTTGAGCATATGTATTTGGCATAAATATTAGTCTTATAGAGACATCTAGACCAATATATGCCACRCTTCATTTAGTTACTTGACAAGTGAATACCATGTATCCTGCTGAATGCTGAACAGAATTTTCTATTTATTACCTTTGATTTATTATGACAGACTAGTAAGATTTTTTTTTCAAGTTCTTTATACTTGTTCCAACAAAATGGCTATAATTTCTTTTAAAATAAACAGGCAAAAGATTTGCCTTTGGTATTGTGTCCTCTGGAGGAAGAGTGCTGTAAAGATCTTTTTTGAATAATCTTGTTCGTAATGATCTGTTTTCAGTTACTGTACAATTTACATGGATGAAGAATGTGTTCTCAATTATCTCATGTCAGAATTCTAGCTGAATTAGTTTTTGCTTATTCTTTTTTTTTTTTTTTTTTTTTTTTAATTTTCCTTCCTGAAATTATTTGTATTTATAGTGGCTAGGGGGACTTATTATCAAGATTTTTGCTTACTTAATAAAGAACCAGTGCCTTTTTAGATGTATCACTTGATATGTGAGTGAAAAAATTTTGTGGTATTGCAGAGAATTTCACCAGTGTAGAAATATTTCTTCATATAACAGTTAACTGTGCTRATTTTCTGTACGTTGTCCCTATAATTTGGAGATTGATAAGTGGATGTGAGAGAGCCTGGATCAGTTTGTCTATATTGTTTGATAGAATATGACTCCACATAAACTTGGTTTCTCTGTAAAAGGTTTCTTTTTGCAGGGCCACAGTCTTGTGTAATATAGCTTTTGGCAGTGGTATATTAAACCAATTTCACCACTGATGCAGTACCAATGAGAGCTATAACTTTACTGGAACTTTGTTATCCTTAATGTTTGTCAGCAATAAAACTGTCTACYTCCCTGATATTCAGTATTGTAAGGGAATGGCCAAAATTTCCTTTATTTATTTATTTTTAATTAAAAATTTGGAATAGGAAACAAGTTTGGGCTGATATTATATTACTTCTGAAGTTTGTCTAAACAAAAGCTTAGTGCTGAGGTTAGACATTTCTATTGACCCAAAATTATTAATACAGTATTTTACTATGAGCTAGCCATAGCTAAAAGCRGAAGATATCCAATATGTTGGCTTTACTTTAAACTCCTAGTGCGTGGAAAAATGGGTGGTGCATGGGAAGGGAATGATTATTGGCACAAACAGAGGAAGTTATAAATCTTAAGATCATATACAGGACAGATTGGAGCAATATAAGCTCTCCACTTTTTCTAAGATAATGTATCTAATAACTCTTTCCAGACAAGTAGGAAATCTGTTTTCAGTTTCTCCCACTTCTAAGAAAAAATATAATTTACATTAAAAGGAGATTTTTGTGGGAGATCTCAACCAGAAATTAATGGGAATTTCTCATCGGAAAATATTGGTTGAAAACCAGGAGGTTTTTGTCACAATCAYTGTTCTGAAATACATATGAATAGCAACGCCATGAAGATAGATAATGCCCAGTCTGATTTCAGAGTGCTAAAATGAAAACACGATGCAGATGCTTTCTGACACTTTTAGAGGAATTAGTCCTTACTCTCAAAYGTGAGCGTACTTGACAGCCAAATATTTTTCTTTTTTTTTCACTAGAGCACTTTGGTATGAAGCCCTATTGAGAGAGAGTGGTAGCAGGGTTGAATAATTGTACCAAATAAATATGCTTTGAGTGTGAGGTGTTTGGACTTGGTGACCTTCAGAGGTCAGTTCCATCGTGAATTTTCCTGTAATACTATGATCCAAGTAAATTTCTACTTTAATAGAATAACTTGGGTGTAGGTTGCAACCTCTCTTTGGCTTGCTGTTTTTTTCCACGTATCTTTTCTAAAATTTGGATTCCTGCTAGTGACTGGAAAAAAAAACTAGTGAATTAAAAATTCTGAGGATGGATCTAAGTTTTCTGCATGTGTGTAACTTTCCTGCATAGGAATACAGTGTACCACAGAGGCATTCAAGAAAAGATCCTACTAAATACAGCAACAAATAACTGTGAAAAATGTTTGTTTATAAGCAGAAAGATTTCCATTACTAAAAATAATAATCTAAGATACGAAGTTCAATACCTAGTCATGAATGAGCGGGCCCAATTGAAGAATCTAATCTCTATAATTTTAAATCAGTCCTTTTACAGAACCTGAATGAACATTATGGGGAACAGAATCAAATATTTTTGGGCTGTTATTTATAACTTTTGAGACGTTTGCAATTCTCAGCGCTTGTTGAGTTTACACGCAGGAAAAGTACTGAACACCACAGGGACATACTTTTATCTAAGCCAGAGGCTGCTACTCTGCCAAGTAGCAAATTCTGCCAAGTTATAAAGGTCTCACAGGAAAGCGTTTAAGGATCTTTTGCAAGAAAAAGGGGCAAACTAATATATGCTATGTCTTATTTTTTAATATTGCATTCATCACCTCCTAGAAGACGAATACTTTAAGCTAGAGATTTTTTGTTTTGAATACTTAACAGTCTGAAAACTCAGTGATTTGTACACTTACTGCACCAAATTAAAATTTGGCAAAAACCTGTTGAAGCCAAAGCAGAGCTGTTTTAGCAACAGAAGTTCACAGTATTGAATTCTGAGTTAAACACAGCATGATCAGAACCTTTTAGAAACATTTGAAAAGCAAAGGAAAATCATGTTGAAGTTTTTGGTTGGTACTACTTCTGAAACCATGCGTCAAGGGCTTTGGTGCTGCCACCAAGAATGAGTGGTAACACAAAAGTAGGATTCAAGATGATCATATTCCTATATGCAGCTTGAAAACACTGTACTATTTATACAAGTGGAAATAGTAGGAGTATTGTAAGGTGTGCTAGATTAGTGTCAGATTTCATTGTGTTTTGCTTTCCTAGTGACCATGTAAACCACAGCAAAAAATAACTGTACCTGGTGGTGATATTAACTGCATGATGCATATTATTGATTTATTCTTTGTATTGCACCATTACGCCTTTACCAATGCATTCTCTGCATTTTTCTCGCATACTTAGTCAAGCACCAAATTATGAAGCAAGAACAGGCTCCTATAATAGCCCCTAATGGAACCTTACATAAGCAATTATTGCTGCCACCTCTTATTTGTTGCTTCCAGCCATTGAGGTTTCTGCAGTACTGGATTGTCCTCAGAACAATTATGAAGTAGGTGAGACTTGGACAGTCTAATTTTTACCCTTGAAATTGGTTTGCTTCCTATTTGGCTACTCAAGTGCTGAATAGGTTGCCAAGTTGTTTCTTGGTAGTGTTTGTGCATTGTATCTTCATTGAAGTTGATTTGCTGTTACMTCAGGAGTTGCATCTATACCATTTTATCCCTACTCCTGAGAGCTGTGAGTGGTATGTTAATTGGCAATGTTAACTATAGGCATATCATCATAATCACATCAAAATCTGTCATAAACTGATGACTGCAATGGGAACTGTTTMAGAGTTTATTTCATGAAGAAAATTTTGAGACAGGGTAGCAGATTTGATAACAAACTATTGGACTTGGCTTTACAATAGTACGTGAGGCTTTAAGTCAGGAAGAGTGCAATTTCCCAGGTCTTTTTTTCAGCCTCTTAAAAAACTAAAATTGTGGAATTCAAAAGGTGTATGTAGATATATATTCCACTTCTGTGTTAAATGGTTGAATTCTTCTCTAGATGATTAATAGAAAGATGTGGAGCAGAAGGAACCTTTGCAATGCCACTCTCTGTATCACCATACTTAGATTCTGTAGGCAATCCATTGCATTGGGGCATTAAATAATGACTTCTTATTGTAAAGGATGCTCACCATAGTTGGTATGGAAGGAAAAACAGATTTCTCTTTCTCCTATAAAGCAGCAAATGTGCTGTCTTCACTGGCATAACTGTCTGCTTTCAACTGTGGGAAACTGTGRAATAATTTCTGGGGGATTTGCTGTTGTATTATGTGATAAGCAGCATGTCATAAACAAAAATGTAGACAGTAAATCTCAGTAGATGAGGTAGAGATGTGGAGAAAGATGTATAAAATAGAGAAATATGATTTTGAAATGGACTGATTAATACCCCATATAAGTTTATATATAAATGATGCCACTTACTGTTAAATATAATACTAGGCCAAATGGTTTATTTATAATAGTTGTTTCAAGTGAGAAGGTATATGTATTTTCAGTTGCAAAGCACCTTTTGAAATTGATGCATCCCTTTTCTGACTTCATGAAATAGGTACTAGAGAAACATCAAGAGACTAATACTCTTTTTGGACAATAAATTGCTATTCTGTCTTTGCTTTCTAACTTGTTTTGCTCTTGCAAGATTAACTATGATTTTTCTGTAACAGGCACATAGTTGTCTGTGGTCACATAACACTGGAAAGTGTGTCCAACTTCCTGAAGGACTTCCTGCACAAGGATAGGGATGATGTCAACGTAGAAATCGTCTTTCTGCATAAGTGAGTAATCTTTCAAGATTTGTTTTTTTAATACATTACTAAAATCCTTTGAAGCTTTATTATTATTATTATTATTATTATTATTATTATTATTTTGAAGATAGAGGATCTTTCAGCATCTAACCGGCTATTAGATTAATATATGCAATTACTTTTGTTAACAAGCTGATACTTGATTTGAAAAACAAGTTGTTTCCTGTAACAGCTTTACAAATCAGTGACCATTATTCCTGAAAGTCATTGCTGTTGGTTGCAGTTTCTTACATGTGATTCAGCATCAGATTGACACGTGTATAAGAGAAGCTGTTATAAGTAGCCATGTGCTTGAAAAAGATGCAGCATTAAGGGTCTTTTCTGATCTGGAGCAGCATGCATTTAAGGAGGGCTGAAAGCCGTGCTAGTTCATTATGGGGTTCTTTTAGGGTATTAGACTATTTTAGTGATTTGGCATTGATCTTTTTTGTTTGATGCAACCAACTGTTTGTGAGTGGTGAGTGTGTGCAGGGGGTGACTGAGTACACGGGACTGTTGTTTTCTGTACAGAATGCCATGCAAGGATGTTGTTTTCAAATGATTACACTTTTTTTTTTCTGGACTCATACCTGTTCTTGGTAGCAAATGATGCTTGTGCAGAACAGCATGATTAAATGGGCTAGACATGCTGTAGATAGAAATAAGGAAGTGAAAGCAGTGTAGTATTTGCTTTTTGGGTACTACATGCTGTTTCCACAACATGGAAGAAGCATAAGCAGAAATCTGAATACCTTAAATATGTAAATAGTTCATAAGTAAATTAGAGAAATAGGATAGTTGGCTGGAAACTGATTTTTGTTTTCTTTCTCTCCCAATTCAGTATCTCTCCTAACCTTGAGCTGGAAGCTCTTTTTAAACGACACTTCACTCAGGTGGAATTTTATCAGGGTTCAGTCCTTAATCCCCATGACCTGGCAAGAGTAAAGGTAATAGCTTTATTGTCTTCTGCTAATTGTCTTTCTCAAAATACTTGTTGTATTTAGAAAAAAGAAAAGAAAAACAGAAACCTTTTCTTCAGGAGATTCAAAAATACTGTTCTTCCATTTCTGTTAACTGGCCTAATAAAGTATGTTACTTACACGCTACTGTCCTTGTAAGACTTGTTTACTTTATATTTTTAGACTTTCAAAGTTACTGTAACATTACAACACAGAATACATTATATGCCACTCTACTGAAGTCTTTATGAATTTTTCAGTGAGGTTAATTCAAGAGTCTATCTAACATTAATGTTTGATATAATAGAACATTGTCCTACTTGCTTAAAATGCTGTTTTCTTACCTTCATGAGAATGATTTGAAAATATTTTTTATCTGTCATACCCTTTTGCTCTTGTCTAGAATTCTGAAAAGATAAAATGTAATTTGAAATATTTAGTAGGTAGAATGAGGTGGCTTTATTGCCTAGAATCTTCTATGGTAAATGATTTTGTACTCTTCAAAAGCATGGAAATAAAGGAAATAAAAGAAGAAGAGATGGCAAGCTATCATATATGCAGAATTACCTACTCACCCCCTTTTAGTGAAGCGTAAGCTAACCACTTAAGCCAAGGAGATTTTGTGTTAGATTTTCGTCTTAGCACTTCCTGGAGTTGAATTCCTGTTTGTCTGCCCCTTCTGGATGCAGAATTTGCTTAACCTTTTGTAGCACAGCATACACGCTTTTAGTTCTGCAGAACAAAATGTTCTTGTTATGACCATAAAATTTCATGTTGCTGTTTTGTGTTCTTCTCTTCCATGTTTCTTTGTGCTGGTATTTGGTTGCATGCACTAAAAAATACTTTTGTCATCTGCTTTGTGTTTASCAGGTCTAAGGATTGTGCATTGGAAGTCTCTACACAGATTAGCTCTCCTTCTCATGCTTTCTAAAACCTAGTGGTCAGATTCTCAATCATCTGGGCAACCATCTCTTTTAGAGTCTAGTTTGTTAGTACTTGAATTCACAAATAAAACTGCAGGACTTGTGAAAGCATGTACTGAGATAACTGCAACTTCCTGGTGATTCAGAGGTCTAAATTTCAGTATCCAATTACAAAAGTTATGTTCATTAACTCTTCCATGCCTCAGCTGCTGTAAAGCAGTTARTGACTGAATTGCCAACCTGGTGTGAGCAAGATCTAAGAAATTGTTATGTCTATATGAGAACTTTCATCATTACCCGTATTATCTATAAGGTCTTGTAACATTACTGCTCAGCAATATTGCAGACTGACAGTCACATTCATAATGGAAGTATTGTATTGCCTTATAGATTCCTGACGAAAGAAGATATGGAAACAAAGATTGCTATTTATGTTTGCTTTTTCTTTGGTGTCTCAGATAGAGTCAGCAGATGCGTGCCTAATCCTTGCCAATAAATACTGCGCTGACCCAGATGCTGAAGATGCCTCCAACATTATGAGGTAAAGTCATTAGTTTTGAGCAAGTTTTGTATCCTTAATTCAGAATTAGCTAGCTTCTGGTGTCTAGATAAGCCACCTGGTATTTGATCGCCTGATGCACTTGATTATTGCCATGATTCTGAAGAAGGAGAGTTGTTACAAGTCTATCTCAAAAGCTCATGGATAAGGATTCCTTGAATTCCTGGCTAAACTATTTTTATGTAACTGCCTTTGAAAAAGTATCAGAAGAGAAAATGATGCAATGAGGAAGGAGTGGTCCGAAAATGAACTTTGAAATTAATGCATTTCAGTTTGGCCTAGTATATAGGCTTTCTTTCTCACTTGCAGTATCCTTCCTTCATCAGATATATCAATTATTCTTCCAAAAATTGCACTTTAGTAGTATAAACTACAAGAATATGTGTATTTCTGTCTGGTAAGCAAGAGATTTCCTTTCATCTTTTTTTTCAGAAACAGCCTTTAGAACTCCATTTATACTGAGTAGGATATGCCTTCTAAAAATTAATCATTTCAAAAAAGGCATGAGCTTTTCCTGTTTCTTTGTTAGAACAACCGATAGTCTAAGTTAACAACACTAGTTGCCCAACAGCACTCAGAGCAGAATCCTGCTGCATTTATTTGCCATGTGCCTAGTGTTGAATTCCTATCATGTAATAATTTTTAGTATTCTCTAAGTCCACAGATAGGCACAATCCTTTGGATCTAGGTTGCTCACTGTGTTGGTTTAGTCAATAGTTTATTTTTAAGATTTAAGACATCAGGAAAAGCTTAACATAGCCATGTGAAACATAGACTTTGGTGCTCTCAATCATTCTGTCAGCCCTGGAATTGAATTGTGCATAACTGGACACCATCCCGGTAGCAAAAAGGGGAAAAGAAGTGCTTTGTTGCAGCAACAGTATTGTGTTTGGCTGCTTCTAATAATGGAACTGAATTCCCCTTAATCACCTCATAACTTGAAGCTCTTCAGTAACKCTGCTCCTGCCAATAATTTCTCTGCTTAAGGGAAGGTAAGGCAGATGCTCATTATCTGCATGTGAGGCATGATGTAAAGATCCTTTGGTCTCCTAGATCCATATTTCTTCTTTACACTGATGACCAAAAATTAGTTATGTTAATTAGCCACATAACACATTGAGAAGCAGAAGATCTTTTTGTTGTTTTCATCCTTAACTTCTTCAAAGGAAGGAGACTAAAGGGTAAGTTGGTAGGTGACAGGTAGAGTACGGACGTACAGTGAAGCTGAGTTGTTCTGTGCTTTTGTGTGTGTGTTCTGTTCATACAACCTTAGTTTTAAAGAGATCAATCTGCCCTTTTGAAAATTTAAAATATCAAAGATCTGTTAAAAATTCACCAACACTCTATTGGCCAAATGTTGTGAACCAATTTTATTGGCCTCTCAGATTTGCCTGTTTGCCTTCTGTGAATTGAAGGTACAAGCAAAATAAAAAAGTARAATCTTTTCTGTAGGAAAATTTCAGTGTGTGCAAGAGCTGTGGTGGCCTGTGGAAAGTGCAAGACTTAAACGTGTCTAATTCATTTTCCAAATACATTTCTGCGATTCAATGTAAAAAACTTTATTTTGACTTTAATTGCATAAATACATTAAAAATGTTCAAAGTTGCAGGTTACTGTGTTCTTTATAGGGTCAATATGCTTAATGTGTTAAGTGTGTTTAAATAYGAACTCACATTCAAATTAATTTGATTAACCAAAATTAAATATTTTATTGAATAATTCAGTAAGAAATGGAAAATTACTAGCAAGAGGTGCTGTATGTTTTCTCCTTCCAAAAGATAGCAAATTATTATATACAGTTTTCTATATCATTTTCATGATCTAACTTTTGATATTCTTGGAAACGCAAGACACGCCAGTAGCCTGCAACATACTTTTTAAGGGACACCACAGCAAACAGTGTCACAACTGTTGAGCAGTCTGATCAGCCTTACTTGCTTAATAAAAAGAGCAAGGGTATCTGAACAGAACTTCAGAAGAATTTGTGGAGAGAGGATTAATTAATTCAACTAAGTAATTCCTAAAAGTTGATGTTATCTAGTGAAACTTAATTTGACTATATGTAAAATTTGCATTTGTCTACAGTTTCACAGACAGATGAATAAAAGAGTGCTTGAGAAGACAATACAGTGAAGTAGAGATATAATGATACAATATCCAAATATTCCTCTAGCTGATATATTCATATTTATTTATTTTTATTTCTAGAGTCATTTCCATAAAGAATTACCATCCGAAGATAAGAATTATCACTCAGATGTTGCAGTATCACAATAAGGTAATATTAAGACTGTTAGGATCTCTCTTCAGACTTTTTTTCTGCATTGTATCCACTGATGCACATTTTTTTCTGGATTCCTTAATTGRAATCTTCTTTTTTATTCTTTTTCCAAACAGTTACATCCTTATAAGTCTTGTCATGTAATCCAATTATAAGTAAATTCAGTTGTGTTATATATGCAAGGGACTTTAYCAAAATTTTGTGGCATTTATTAAACATCTAGGATTTAATTCTCAAAGCTTCAGGCTGTCCACAGTTTCCATTGATTCCAGCTAAGCTTTTAACCACTTGACTACTGTAGATTTTGCTGAACTTAGTTGATTAGAACTATCCAAAATGAATTTGTGGTGTCTTAGGCAAGTCATCTGAAGTCATTTTTAATGAGGATACTTGATAAAATACATAGCATATTTGCTTAATGGTGACTGACTGAAATGGATGAAAGTGTAGATCTGAACTTACTGGATATTAAGTCCAAAATAATTTGAGGGTTTTGTTTTGTTTTAACTTAAAGTGAATTTCAGTTGTGGAATTTCTTACTGCAAAATATTATGGGGGTAAAAAATTATGAATCCAATTAGGGAAAAATGCAAATTTGTGACTGTTAATTTTGAGACCATTAAACCCAATCTTTTGGATGAGGAAGTCCATAAACTGTTGATTATCAGGGCTCAAAAGGATATATAAAATCATATACGATCTACTTGTTGATACTTTTAGAAGCAATACTACTGCTCAGTGTTAGAGCAAAAGTTTGGCTGAGTAGACCTCCATTAAATGAGGTGTGATAATCTGGCTTCAGAAGCTTTTAACTTCTTGCACCTGTAACCTCTGTTTAGAGGAGCAATTACAATTGCTTGTGTACATTGTGTGTGTACRATTATAGTTGCTCTTACTGTATGTGAATGGAGTAGCTTATATTTTTACAGAATAAAAGCAACGTGTTTCTGTGCTTTATATGTTATCTGGGGAAAAAAAAGACATGTTAAGATGTTATATGCCTTAATATATGGCAGTGTCACATGTGAAGGCTGCAACCTCACATAAATTGTAATCTATTAGATAACTATACATTATACATGTGTGTTATCTGACAGAGTAGCTTGACCTGCTTTAAAAGGGATATGTGAAAAGAAGAATAACTGTGTAACATTCTGGGGGTTCATTCAGCTCTGATGATGGGCCTAGCTGAGTGTCACAGACAGCACTATGCAGCTGGAATATGGCATGAGAAGTGTGAGATTTCATCCACAATAGGTAAAAGTGAAACAGTTTTTCACACAGRCTTTTATTCTTAAATATTTGGAGTGCTTTTGCCTACTTGAAATAATTAAATGTCAAAAATATTTGCTGCTATTTCTTGAATATTGTGTATCGTATCTATTTACAAAAGTACCTGTGAGTCTTCACTTTATTTGTTTAATTTTGTTTTCTTTTGTTTTCAGGCCCATCTGCTAAATATTCCAAGCTGGAATTGGAAAGAAGGAGATGATGCAATTTGTCTTGCTGAGCTCAAGCTGGGTTTCATAGCTCAGAGCTGCCTGGCACCGGGCCTTTCAACAATGTTAGCCAACCTCTTCTCTATGAGGTCTTTCATAAAGGTAATGTCTTGTCTCATTAGAAAGTATTAATACACAATTTGCTTTGTCAGACAGCTGAGTAAAAAGCATAGTTTAAATTAAAACAGATAGGAACACATTAGCAGCTTTCATAAGACAAAAAAAAAATGCAGTGCRCACTTGCACACAAATGCAGTGCACACAAACGTTCTCTGCTATAAATCGGGCAGTGAGCCAGAATCTATGAAAACTATGTTGTTATTTTTATTTGGCAAATGCTTGCCCGTTAAAGGATAGTTCAAAGCACTGTGCATTTCTTGGGAGATTTTTCTGSTGCTTTGTGTTTTGTTTTAGACAAACCACATGTTTATCAATCAGGAAAGCCCTGCTGTTAAAACAAAGATATAATTTTTATATATACCATATGGCAGCAAAGTGCCCAGGAATAAAAAAATAAATAAATAAAATAAAAAAGATAATCTTGCTATCTTTTGCATCAAATGACTAGTGGATTCCTGACTGTGAGTAAATAAGGACCATGTGTTTGAACTGAAGCCTGAACTTTCTACAACATAATTTATGTATTTGTTTCTCCTCAGTTAAATACCTCTTTTGGGTTTACACGGCAAAACTGTAAACCAGTTATTTGTAGACTTATATGGTAACTGTACCAATTCCGTGGACCAAGGCCTTGACTGCAGCAGTCAGGGCTTCTTTCTTTATTACTTTTTAAGGACATTAATTTCAAATAAAAGGAGGTTCAATTTCCAGTCCCATGGGTGTTATTAGAGCGCAAAAGGCACTGGAATATGAGGTAGGCCTTTGTCCAGTTCAAGTTCATCATGCATGTAGGCAAAAAAGCCTAATGTCTTCTGGTAAGAAAGATAGGACAATGCCCATGGAGGTGCACATACCAGCCAAGGGCAATGAGTCTTTACTTCTCATGAAGTCAGTTCTGGGAGTCCTAAAACTCTAACTGAGGGATCCTTTGGAGTCCCCAAAGACTAGAAAACCACAGACTCGCTTATGTCAAAAATGTCTTCGACTACCATATATAGTGAAAAAATGTCCATTTTAATTTYGGAAACAAGACTGGACTTTTCCCTTAGTGTCTGCAATTAGACTGCATCYTGATTCATTTTATGAAAAGAAAAATCAATTTTATTTTAGGGAAGACAAACTTGGAAACTCCCTATGATTCGTCAGCATATGCTTGCTTTAATATTAATCATTTCTACTTATATCCCAAAGGAAAACTATATTTCTAGTGATCTACATTYTTTCTGAAGGTCATTTTGCTTTCCCTCTTCTTACCTAATATGGTAATGTGACATTCTCAGGGGTCTCAAACATTTGTCACAGTAATGTAGCCAGRTGACTGAAACGACCTTTTCTATGAACTCGCTGTTGACCTCAGAAGTAGACCTGAAACTTCCATTTAGCTTCTGTCCTTCCAAAATCAAAAGCAATCATTTTTTGGGAAATTGTACATATATTATATCTTAATGCAAGTTATTTTAATATTGAATGTAAAACTGCAGTGAGAAATTGAAATTCAAAAGTGRTAAAATATACAGATGTAGGACTTAGAAGATACTGTATCAGAGACCTATTGGTGACCTGGAACTTGTAGTTAGTATGACTGAAAAAACATAAATAGAACATCTTTCCAGAAAATGTAGCTCAAAGTTCTGGCCACTTTTATGCCTATTTTGTCCTTTTTCAGTTCCTTGCTTTCTATACCTCCAATTTTATAAAGTAATAAACTGTTAATCTAATATTTTTATTAAAGTGAAGAATTGGACTYGCTGATGAATTGAGTTTTAAACTGTAGCTTTGTGAGGCACTTTGATTCTTCGCTAAGGTAGAAAGCATCCTGATTTTCTATTGAATGCAAAGGTGCTTGAAGTATTCTGCAATTTGTTAATTTCATCTGTGTATTTCTGTCTATATAGAAAAAAAAAGYAAAATTAGCAGTTATTTTGATTTAGAGGAAGATATGTGATCATATATATGATATTTTTTCAGAATAGAGCAAGCATACACTAACTACAAATGTGTAACTTCACATGCCATCTTCAGATGCGACTCGAAAGGACAGTCAGACACTACRCTGGGAAAATACAGGATTGCTAATAAAAGTTTAAAAAGATTTCTGCTATTTTACTAAGGAAGGATTRTCCAGATGAATAGAATGGGTGCCATCATTACCAAAGAACTGATAATTCTGAGTATGTAAAATCTAAAGCAAAACACAATAATTGAGGCATGTTTCTTGCATGAAAATCCAGCTCCTCTGGTGACAGGAAGAGGTTTGTTTCTTTAACTGAAATTATGTCCTTTCTACAAATTAGAAAGAATTTCACTCTAGAAACTTTTTGAAAAGAGGAAGCTATCAATAATCTATTAAGTGGTGATTGTGAACCAAGAGTATGTTTAGCAGGAGAGCACCTATCACAGTCCTGCATTGACTGGAGTTGTTAAGGAGGACTCTTTTGAAAAAAAAAGTATGTGCTTCCTCTAAAAGAAGTTACAATTCTTCTCATTGCAGCATAGAATTTAAATACTCTCAGACTTTCGTAGATTCCTTAGGCAAACATTGTTGGTTGAGTCTTACATACAAGTTAGAAGATTGTCAGGAAAATTTATGAGACTGGTTTTGCTGTTATGTTGTAAAAAGTTTCAAATAAATGTTTGTTCCTTCTCTTTCCTAAAGTGATTAGAAAGTCATTCAATGTGCCATAAGTGTTTCATAAGTCGTGAGCATTACTAATAGTGACATTGCACAGATTTAACTCATTATGTGTTACTTTACTTCAAAATGATTTGTGTAAATTCTCTGCCCAATAGTAAAGGTAAAACAAACTAAGAAACCTCAAATATTATATTTTTGTGTATAATATTTTCCTTTTGGTTTTAGAGATGTAATCTAATATGGAATCTTTTCTTTTGCACAAAGTTGAATAAAATCAGCTCAAAAAAGTTGCATAACTTGGAAGAACACAGAAATAGYTTTGTAAACACTTATAAGACAGAAAGATTGAGTAATACCATGATGTGTTAGGGGAAAAGTCTCCACACCTTAAACATATGTGAATAGTCTATTGTTTTTATAGCACAGAATGTTGTTGATGTTATATTAATAAAGGTACTGGGACTCTTTATTGCTTGCATAGTCTCAGCACAAGGTTGAAATCCTAAACTGTAGTGCAATTTTTTGAATTGTTTAGATTTGCAAATGTATACCATAGGTCTGCCTATATGAAAAATACTGCAAAGTAAATAGAATAAAAGGTAGACATARCCAAATTTACCCCCATGTACAACTATAGAGTCCAACATGGTTTAGTATTGCGAAATGTGATCCTTGAGTGTAACACAAGTTCACAAAACAAGTCAGTTTTCTGTTTGCAGTCTTGGTAAATCAGTAGGCACCACTCCAGAGCTTAAAAATGACCTAGAGCAGTCTCAGCTCTCCTTTAAGCTATTTTGAGAGAAGGAATGTTGTACATGCTCTTTTGACAGCTGTTGATCACAACATGTAGCCAATGCCAATATCTTCCACTGCATTGCTTCCTAGTCCGGACTAACGGGTATAATAAAGGCACACAGATTTGCACTAGTCTGGTGTTTACATGTATTCACAGGACACACTAGGTAACTTTCCATCTGTTTTTGGTCGAGTAGGTAGCACTAACCTGTCCTGATGCTCAAGTGTAGGTTTTTCTCATTGATTTTTTTAAAAGGAATAAGAACTTGAAATGCAGAAAAAAAACCACTAGCAGCGTCTCAAATTACGATGAGGTCTGTTAAGACACAGCATAATAAACAGAATACTTCATACTTAACAAATTTCCTACTGTGCCAGTTTCCCTCCACAAGCCTGAGTCCAAAAATTAACATATCCAGTTTCCAAAGATAATACATTCTGTAAAAGGTTCAGCATAYATTTAATCATTCTAATCACAGAATCTAGCAATTAAAAACTGGTGTGGCTGAAAAYCATGCACTAATTACAAATAAAGAGTAATTGCTTGTGAGACAGAGTAATACATTTTGCTTGRCCTGAGGACTACAATGTTTTTCAGCCTATCATTTACTACCTATTTTGTATTATGTTTGGTTAGGAATACTGCACTGTTTCATAAACTTGAGAGTTAATTACTGAAAGGAAAAAAAACCCTACTATAAGATTGTACCTTAGCATATAACATGAAAAAGCACATCTCAGAAATTAACATATGAGGTTTCTTAACATATTTGATGTTTTATAACATATTCTTTTAATATAAATTTTGAAAATATTCTTGCATACAGAAAGAACTCTGGAAATAGTTGACTCAGGTTTTAGATTTATACCACTAAGAATACCTGTTAGCCTTGATTTAAGGAGGCAATGCAATTGAGTAAAAAGTAAAATAATTAATTAATATAATTGATTAATAATAATTAATAATATTAATATAATTAATAATTAATTAATATAATTGATTAATAATAATTAATAATATTTAAGGAAATTCAGTTATAACATTGTAAATCTCAGAAGCTTCATATGTACTATGAATGTATGAATACTTCCAGCCAAATACTTATCTGCCAGATTTTGATATCCAATATCTAAAAGTATAATGAAACTAGACATTCATATGAGCAACTAGACATTCATATGAGCAACTATTTCAGTCAGTAGACTGAAAGGATATTAGGAGGAAATGCTTAAAATACATTGCACTACACTTTTTTTTTCCAACTACCAGTCAAGGATATTGTTGAAGTGAAATGGATCACTGATATTTCCCAGTGTAATTGGACTTATTTTCTTTTGTTTTCTCTTCAATATGTTGAACAAAGAATTAGTCCACTTGAGAAAAGCTTATTAATTTTAATAACAGAACTGCAATATTCAAGTGCTGTTCTGGAGATAAAATAATTGGAAATCACTCACTAATTTACTGTTTTCTCTCGTGACCTTTTTATTCGGTAAAATTTCAGTTTCTGAAAGGAAATGTGTTTCAAAATATCAGCTGCATGATCTTCAA